CTCAGGATTTTTCGCTGTCTCAGGATTTCTTAAATTTTGTCTTAGGTTTTTTCGCTGTCTCGGGATTTCTTAAATTTTGTCTCGGGATTTTTCGCTGTCTTGGGATTTCTTAAATTTTGTCTCAGGATTTTTCGCTGTCTTAGGTTATTTTGACATCTCAGGTTCGCTTAAATTTTGTCTCAGCTTTTTTTGCAGTCTTAGCTTTTCTTAGGCAGTTTGTCTTATGAATTTTTGCAAATCCAATCCTAAGATCCGAGGCTGGGGGAGGCCTATCTAAGGCCAAGGTTTGGTATTGTTACGGAGTTGCATATTAACAGGAAGCGATGTAACAAGAGCCAATATTATATATTTAATGTTACCATGGGCTGGCAAGTCCCCATACATTGCAGCCCGTTAGTTTTACAACCTCTTATAATATATAATAGTAATACTTGAACTAGTACTTTTATCACTATAATTATTCTATAATTTTGTCAATAATCTTCTACCACTACAGTTATACCAACAAATAACATAGAACATGATCCTAAATGAAAAAGAGTTAAAATATAGATATAAATGATCATCGTATTTGTTTTCATGTAAATTGTAAATTGTAATTTTAACAATTAAATTTTAAATAACAGGTTTTGATGGATTATGGTAGATCAAAAAAATAGATATGTTTTGATATCAGAAGATGGCGAAAATGAACCTCAAGATGTTCTTTTTGTTGGGCAAGAGCAGATACGATTGAACGAACTTAATGACGAACAAATACTTAGTGAGGACAATGGCGGAGAAATGATTGAAGAAAAAAACTCACAAAGAACCTGTAAATCAATATTTAGACAGATAGAAGGAAAACTATCAATATTCCTGGCTGGTTTGATCAGTGTGAATGTATATTCTCTGAATAAACATGTAGGACATATGCCCGTGGGACAATTCTCCTCATCAGTCTTCATCTTTTCTTTTTTGTTCTTACTTCCAGTCTTCTTTTTCAGAGAAAAGAAAGTAAGTTTCTACGGTAAAGCTAAGTTCATTATCACTAGAGCATTCTTTGGAGCTATAGGTGGAATCTTTAAGTACTGGGCAGCCAAAGAAATGGATTACGGTGATAGTGTAGCCCTCGGTTCATTAGCTCCTATATTTGCTGCTTTATTCTCCCGAGTCCTCTGGAAAGAGAAGTTGAGTATCTTCACTCTAGTCGCCCTGATTATCGGTGTAACAGGTATTGTTCTTGTTGCAAGGCCGACTTTTTTGTTTGGAATTTCGATGGAATCCCAAGAGAAAGAATTCAATCCGTTCATGAAGTTAGTTCCTATAGCTGGTAGCATTATCTATGGATTTGCGTTTAGCTGCATGAGAAAAGTTGGAACTGAGGTTAGCCCCATATTAGTTTCATTACTTGTGTCAATAATTGTTGTACCGGATGGGATTATATTTCAACTGATTTATGAGGATGAGTTTGTTCTTCCTGGGTGTTTTACGGATAGGATGGTGATCTGTGTTGCAGGATTTGGTTTGTGTGCTGCTCTTCTCCTTTTGAATCGTGGATTGGCCTTAGAGAAATCTGGACCGGGAGTTCTCATAAGAAATCTTGACATAGTTGTTGCATATGGAATTCAGGTTGTGTTCTTTAACAGCATTCCTGATGTGATGAGTGTTTGTGGAGCAGTACTAGTAATATCAAGCGCTGTTATAGTCACTGCGAATAAGCTGTTCTTCGAGAAATGCTGTAAATACGAGTTTTAATGCGGTAAACATAATTAGTACGTACTGAAATTTTGTGTAAAAATATCGGTCCGAATGTGAACATTTATTGGTTACTGCGACTAACGAAATAACTCTTCTTTCAATTAGCATGCAATCGGTTTTATATGATGTTTATTGTACAGATCAAAATTAGAGCTTTCGGTCTCTATAAGTTTCATGACTCCGTTATTCATCAAATTGAGATATTGTACAATTTATCAGTTTATCAGACCGGATCAGATCTAGTAGGGTCTATCTATTATATGCAATATGCATGTAACATTATATGTCATTATATCTCAACTGGGGAACCCATATCGGTTGATATGTCTCACTACTTCACAATACCGAGTTATTCTTTTCAATTAGTCATGATGCTACCACTTAATGATTCCTATTCGAGCATAAATGAATAAGGATAAAGGTGCTACTCAATGATGGTGTTTACATTCAAACAACGATCATATTATGAACGAATTCTTTATAGGTGTAATTAATAATTATGCTTGTCATGTTGTAGTATTGATTCTCTGTGATGTATGTGCGCAGTAATAGAACATCCAATTTACACACGCTAGGAAGCATCTAGAGAACGTGAAATTTCACTGATCGTCTTTATTTACTATAATGCACTATTATATATCAGGAGAACAGTAATATAAGCTGTTTTCTGGAGCTAACTAAAATATTTTTGTACGAATATATAAATATTATCAAGAAGTGTAAGTGTAGACACAAATAACCGATTTAAGTTTCTAAGTGTTCACTCACAACCTTAAATAATATATTTCATTAGTATGCTACCCACACGCAACCTCTTAATAACTCACGTAATTCGTCTCCAAATTGCACCAAAATTTCAGAGATTATAGATATGGGTCAAACTTAGATTTCCTGAAAGTTTCGTAAGCCACGCCCAATTACAGTGAGCGTGGCGTGACACTCCCTCTTTTTCACTATTGTCTTCATAAAATGAGAGCGCTTTAAGCTAAGAACTCAAAATTTTTTGCACACATTTGGCTTGATAATTGAAAACCTTTCCCAAAGTTTCAAGTTCATTGGTTAAAATATGGCTAAGTTATGACCATTTCAAAACTCATCGGATACGTGATCCGAGCACTCAGTCAGTGATCTCGTCACTTGGTTAATGGCCTGTTTGGCTCACATGCACCGCTTGATTGGTTCGGCCTGCTTATGGGCCGGCCTATACAGCTGACTGCACCTAAAACGCTATCACACGAATTTATGGTGGTGTCACCATTTCAGGGCTTGTTAGCCCTGCTAGTCACAGGTTCCTTACAATCAATAAAAAGGAATGAACCATCCATTGAATCATCGAAAATGGTTCACTATCCTCCCTTTACTGCAGAACAACGATTGTTCGTCTACCTGAAGAAAGAAAATGGGGAGTTCTACCCTCAGATTAAACGACAATTTCAGATGAAATTCAACCGACCACCCCCTTGCCGGAAAAGCTGCTTTGACATTCATCACAAGATCAAGTTTACGTTTTCTGCACACGATCGGCGAAGAGTCGGCAGAAGACGAACTGCGAGGACTGTAGAAAACATCACGATCGTTGTTGGTGACGTGATGGACACACCTAAGATTGGCACCCGGAAATGAGCTCCTGCCTTAGACATCAACAGAACAACCCTTCAGCGAATCCTAAAGCAAGACCTTTCTAACCGGGCCTACCGAATCACAAAGAAACACAAACTTTTGGACCGTGATTTCCAATCGAGGATAGATTTCGCCAACACATTCCTGTCCAAGCAGAATGTGGATCCCTACTTTGAGGACGAAATCTGGTACAGCGACAAGGCCATATAAACGGATATGTCAACTCCCAGAATGCAATTCACTGGGGCTCTACTAGACCGGATGAAGTGGTGGAGAGAACGGCTTTTCCTGAAAAGGTCACGATCTGGTTTTTATCCTAAAAATTTGTGTTTCCCTTTCTAGCAAAGTCATCATCGGTATCCAATCAAAGCCTAATGAACCTCATTAATACACGCTAACGCCTTACTCTTGATCAGATTGGGTGACGAGATCACTAATTGAGTGCAAATATCACTGACTGAGTGCACGGATCACATATCCGATGGATTTTAAGGCCACAGGGGGGGGGGGGGGGGGGGGGGGGTCCGAGGTCGATTTTGAGATTTTGAGATATGTTGTAGAGCTCGATCTAAATTTTCAAATGCTTTTGTCCTTACCGAAAACAAAGTTTCCTATTTGAAGATATCGCGCGTTGAATTTTGAGGTTTACCTGTAATTCTATTGTAAATGAAAACTTTAAATGAAATCGTGTTCAAAATCTATCTTCTTTTTCAGTTTATGACTTAGAACCTTGAAACTTGGCAACAATGTTCTTCAAGGTATTTTGAGTTTTTGTTATGTAACGATTTATAATATCTTGCTCCAAAGCTGAGATATGAGGTTAACCATGAGTGCGGGTTACAAAATTTAAAATGGTTAACCTCATAAAAAGAGGTAGGAGCAAAATTACAACAATCGTTACATAACAAACGTTTAAATTTATGTCAGGAACATAAGTTTCAAATTTGAGGTGAAATGGATAAAAACTCTAGGAGAAGATAGATTTTGAAGTCAAAAATTCGAGGTTTTCAGGAGAGGCAAAAAACTGTTTTTTATGTTATGTGATTTTTGAGTATTTTGCCTTTATTCGTATATTTTTCAAAGTTTAACTGCTGAAATAACACAAAAACAATAAAAACAAAGCTTATCATAGTTTTCAGTTGTAATGGCATCAATATTTCTGCCCTCCATTATCGATTTATCAAAAAAATTAGGTTATTTGAAGAATTGGTTAACCTCATTTATTAAAAAAAGTAAAATAGCTACAGACAAATGAGTGGTGGCAAAGTATCCACCACAAAAATACATATTGATTTAAAGCATAATGTTTTTTTGCATTTTTTGAAGCCTCGACCCCCCCCTGTGGCCTTAAAATGGTCATAACTCAGCCATATTTAAAAATTTTCAATTATCAAGCCAAATGTGTGCAAAAAATTTTGAGTTCTTAGCTTAAAGCGTTCTCATTTTATGAAGACAATAGTGAAAAAGAAGGAGTGTCACGCCACGCCCACTGTAATTGGGCGTGGCTTACGAAACTTTCAGGAAATCTAAGTTTGACCCATATCTATAATCTCTGAAATTTTGGTGCAATTTGGAGACGAATTACGTGAGTTATTAAGAGGTTGCGTGTGGGTAGTCACTTATGGGCCACCCTGTATAATCAAGAATATTAGTTCCAAGCCCGGTTCCAAGGAAAGTATCAATCTCTCTACATTCTATAATCTAACAGTTCCTGGAAGTCCTTTACAAAAGCGGGAACTTAATTGTAATCTTATAATTAATTAACCAACTACTAAGGATAAAAGTTGAAAATAATACTAAATTACCTGATTTATCGGTTAATTATAAATTATACGAAATAAAATGATCTAACGATTTAACTACATTTCCTACGTTAAATATTTATCTTTCTAAAATAACTGTGTTATTTATTTTCTAATATTAACATTGTTATTTTGGTGGGCCAGGTGGGCCTGAAGGTTTAGCAATGCCGTGCTTTTTAGTTAGTTCCTGAAGAAGTTTACTTGCCATCTTCGCCCCTTTGTAGCCCATAATGTTTCCACTTTCCAGATGCTTTGCTGCTTCTACCTTGGCGTTCTGAATAATATGAGCATTAGAAAATTCAAATAACTAAATCATTAAGTAATTGATTGCCAAAGATGATTTTATAGTATTTTTTGTGAGCTAAAATCGGGCAAATTATTAAAATGGCATGTTCCACCCGGTGCTAAACTCAGTTTTAATTCAGCGTTTTACTCAGCACTTCCTACCTTGTAGTCCTCAAAATCAGCAGGGTTAGCATTGCACCTGTCTCTTGTTTCAATCAGCAACAAAGAGGGGCCCAGATCAGCTGGGGTGAGGTGGATCTTGAAGATAGCTTCGTGCAGTCTGGAACCATCTCTTGATACCTGACGGTGAATTGTGTATCATGATAATATGCTTAGTACTTTCTACAGTTTTATCAATTAATCGCTCTAAGTCTATTCTTAAAACTGATCGCTTTATTATAAAACACAAATACCTTCTTCAAGAACCAAAGATCGGCGGCGTGGAAAGGTCCTGATCCAATGAACATGAAGCCATTCTCCATGAGGGCATCAAACGCCTCCCTTGGGGGCGGGTATTGGTTGTAGAGTATCAGTGAGTCTGGGTATATGGTCCCCGGCATTCCTGAGACATATGCAAGTGATATGGGCGGGAGGGTGGATCATTAATTGCACAAGAAATCGCTAAATAGTCAATTAATAGTTTGAAACAAATTGTTTCTTCACTCCTTCAGCTGAAGGGGGAACTACATGAGCTATAAAAGATCGTACCCTTGATAGAAGTAGATCCAACATGTTCCCAATTCAGTCCATTCTTCTCAACAACCTCCCCCGGTATCTTACTAAAAATAGCATCTTTCTCCTCATTTATAAATCCTTTAATCTCTTCGTAGGGTAGATCGTGGTAAAATGCCATGTCTTTGGAAATGCCCATGGCAAGCGCTCGTTTGAAGCCAGGGTAGGATTTAAGTTTTTCTGGGTTGACAACCATGTCGTACAGCTGATCAACTGTGTATTCTTCTTCACCCAGACTCATTATGATTCTAAAACATATCAGGTAACTTCACGAGATTTGGTAACTGTTTTTATCGCCAATAGTACTTTAAGTTTAAAATCATGTCAAAAATAAGGTGAACACATTCACAATAACAATTATGCGCCAGACAACTTGCAATACAAAAGAGAATTTGCGTCAAAATAAGTCGTTGCACAAAAGTTCAAAACAAGTGAGCATGAACATTCTCCATACACAGAGCTGGAAAACTAAGAACACTCCACAACAAGGCCTGACAGTTACTGCGTGTTTAACTCCACAGTTAACCGAGATCACACTACCCACGATAACTACCGTAGTAACTTCCACTCAACAAGTATGTAGAAAACATGAAGCAGTATAATAATATGGTCCCTCAAACGAAGCATTACGAGTTACTCTCGTTCAGCATGTAGTACAACATTAGATCTGTGTCTGGAATAATGTCATATCATTATTATATACTCTGGCTACGGAGCTAATTGTCCTGGTTCATGTTACAAGTGTCTGAGAGGTAATGTAGCTGTTCAGTTGCTCGGTAGCCTGTAGAACTAATAGACGTAACAACTAGTACTACAGCTGACCAGCTGAAGGTTCTATTGTATTTAATAATGCGAGGCAGGCTATTCAACGTAAATACAGAGCCAGACGTATTGTTGTACAAGTACAAGATGTTTTAGCGGGTAGAAACTAATCTACGTATCGTAGTTTATGAAGACATTCCATATCGTATTACCAAATAAGGAGTAATTGAACGGGCATGACGTGAAGATAAACTAACAGCGGTTTAAGATAAATTATCGCTAAACATACGAATAAACCCGACCGTTTATTGGGGAAATGTTAAATCGAAATGCCCTGTAACACATTAGTATGCACACAAATTAATATAATTCTGTGAAAACGAAATGCCTGGTAGATCAAAGCCCGGTAAAGTGATGGCTGAACGTATTAGCAAGACAAAATGGTCTGGACTGTAAAATATGCACATCCTATGAGAAGCAGTGAAGCAGTGACACAAAAGCTACAACACACCATGTAAGATGGAATGTAGCCGCTATAGTTTTACATCCAAATCTAGCATATTACATTAGGAGGACTAAGAAGGGGGGGGGGGGGGGGGGGGGGGGGGGGGGGGGGGGGGGGGGAAGGTGGTTCAAAAATTATAAGTTTTGTCACTTCAAAAAACATAGGTTAGATAATATAATTAGAGTGAAAGTGGCGCCATTTTAGTTTTACCTTTCTTTTCGAGAAACTCCAAAAAAGTAGTGCTAAATAAAATTAAAGCTCCCCTTTTTCGTCTGGTATGTATAAATAGGCCTATGACATGGAAAATAGTCAGTAATATTTCAGGCCTCATCGGGATGGCAAGCACCGCTAATTTGATTGTCTGGTCTGGTGCTGATTGCTTCTAAAGAAGAGTTCAGCACAGAATTATATTTTAAAAGTGGTATTTCATGGCTGAAAAATGAAATATTCGGAGTTTTTTTTCGAATTCACAATATTTTAAGATCGACTGACTATTTCAATTGCATGTAGACTAGAGAGAACTATTTAGCTTCCAATTACCTGATACCTATTTCGAATTCTGGCTAAGTATAAAATGAGCACTATTTTTTCATGCACGTTGAACCCAAAATATTCTACTTCAAGTGCAATCACTGAAGTAGTCTAATCGACTTTCTACATAAAAACAAAAAATGCAAATTTCCGAAGCCCAACTCTCTCATTCTTTGAACAATATTCATTGACCATTGTAATAATATAGTAGCGTGCTATAATAACGGATGTTGGGCATCTTAATTTTACTGATTTTCTATAATTCTAGGTACATATATATCCTAATGACGGTCCAGACGGAGTCTCAAGAACAAGAAATGGTGCTCATAAAATCCTCAAACCTACTATTTCAACAACTTGAGGCGGACGGTAGCCAACAAGATCGAGATGATATCAAGGAAATATTTCCACTCACATGTAAATCGGTCTGCAAACAGATTGAAGGAAAACTGCTCATATTTCTAGCTGGATTTATTAGTGTCAGTGTTTATTCACTAATTAAATTCGTCGAAACTATGCCTGTTGGCCAGTTTTCATCCATTGTGTTTTTCTTTGCGGCCTTGTTTTCGCTCCCAGCCTTATTTTTTAAAGAAAGTGTCGTATGTTTTCATGGAAAAGCCAAATATGTCATTCCTCGAGCATGTTTCGGTGGATTGGCTGCTGTGTTAAAGCTTTGGGCCGCTAAAAGGATGAACTATGGTGATAGTGTTGCCTTGGCATCATTGGTGCCTATTTTTGCTGCTATTTTTTCAAGGATTCTTTGGAAAGAAAAATTGAGTATTTTTACGATATTGTCATTACTAGTTGGATTGTCCGGGATTGCTTTGATAGCTAAACCTACTTTTCTATTTGGAGCTCTGAGTGATGAAGATAAAAAAGAGTACAGTCCGTTTTTTTCGTTTGTTCCTCTATTTTCGGGAATTTCGCTAGGATTTTCTTTTAGCCTTATGCGAAAGGTGGGAACTGAAGTTAGCCCAATTTTTGTAACACTTGTTGTTAGTTCGGCAGTTGTTGTGGAAGGAATTATCTTCCAGTTAATAAGTGGTGACAAATTCGTACTTCCTGAATGTTTTATGGACAGGCTGATTATTTTCTTGGGAGGATTTGGTATATTTCTCTGCCTCATTCTTCTCAATCGAGGACTGACTCTGGAAAAATCTGGACCGGGGGTTCTCATAAGAAATTGTGATATTGTTATTGCCTATGGAATTCAGGCTGTGTTCTTTAACAGCATTCCTGATGTCATGAGTGTTTGTGGAGCAATTTTAGTAATATCAAGCGCTGTTATAGTCACTGCGAATAAGCTGTTCTTCGAGAAATGCTGTAAATACGAGTTTTAGGGTTGTAATTATGTTACATTATACATAATAGTTTTTTATTTTTCATCTGAAATTTTTAATTTTGATTTCTTAAAAGCAATATTGTAGCAAATTTAAATCGTATCAATTTATATTATGATAGTTTATTTTTATACATGCAATGTGTTATCCGGATCAGATGTAACATAAGTTAGGCGATGTACATAATATAGGGTGTCCCAAAAAGGGCAAACAAGCGATCAGTCTTAATAAGTTCTCAAGAACGGTTTAAGAACGTCATTTATATCATTTACATTTTACAAGGGTAAGAGGGTACTACCTGCAGAGTCCGTGAAGATGTTTTAACGATTCACTACGTACAGTTCATGTTATGTACATTAAACTTTGATTCTGTATAGTTTTTTAAATATAAACACGAAACATTTATTTTAGAAACCAAACTTCTGAACAATATTCATCGTAATTATGCACTTAGCGTGTTATACGAACGGATGATGGTGGGAATCTGAATTTTTGGTAATATCTTTATAATTGTAGGAAGTACATTCATCCTGATGACGGTCCAGACAGAGTCTCAAGAACAAGAAATGGTGCTCATAAAATCTTCAAACCTACTATTTCAACAACTTGAGGCGGACGGTAGTCAACAAGATCGAGATGATATCAAGGAAATATTTCCACTTACACGTAAATCAGTCTGCAAACAGATTGAAGGAAAACTGCTCATATTTCTAGCTGGATTTATCGGTGTCAGTGTTGTTTCACTTGTTAAAAATAGCACAACTTTGGCTGTTGGCCAGTTTTCGTCCACAATGTTTTCCTTTTCGTTCTTGTTCATACTCCCAACCTTGTTTTTTAAAGAAAAAAACATAGGTTTTGAAGGAAAAGCCAAATATATAATTCCTCGAGCATTGTTAGGTGGACTTGCAGGTATTTTGAAGTTTTGGGCAGCTAAAGTGATGGATTATGGTGATAGTGTATCCCTGTTTGCATTGGTTCCTATCTTTGCTGCTATTTTTTCTAGGGTTCTTTGGAAAGAAAAATTGAGTATATTTACGATATTGGCATTGTTAATTGGATTGTCCGGAGTTGTTTTAATAGCTAAACCTACTTTTCTGTTTGGAGCTCCGAGTGAAGAAAATAGGAAAGAATATAGTTCCATTTTTGCGTTGGTTCCTCTTTCTGGGGGAATTATTTTGGGGCTTGCCTTCAGCATGATGAGAAAAGTTGGAACTGAAGTTAGCCAATTTTTGTGTCAGTTATTGTTTCTCTCACAGTTGTTGTGTACGGAATTATCTTCCAGCTAATAAGTGGTGACAAATTTGTACTTCCTGAATGTTTTATGGATAGGCTGATTATGTGCTTGGGAGGATTTGGTATATTTGTCTGCCTTCTTCTTCTTAATCGAGGACTGACACTCGAAAAATCTGGACCGGGAATTCTCATCCTAAACTGTGAAATTGTTATTGCCTATGGAATTCAGATTGTATTTTTTGACAGCGTCCCCAATCTTTTGAATATTATTGGAGCACTTTTGGTTATTTCAAGTGCTGTTTCGGTTACTATAAACAAGTTGTTAATCGAAAAATATTTCAAGTACGAAATTTAGGTTGTTTGGAGGCAGCAACCCTTGCATTGGTGTTTTGATACGTAATAGTGGCTCTGATCTTAATAGTATGAATCATCTTCTGATCCTCAACTCTATGGAAGATCTGCTGTCATTCTATTTCAAGGGTTGTATTTTGTTTGTCATTCCTCGAGCATGTTTTGGTGGATTGGCTGTTTTGTTAAAGTTTTGGGCCGCTAAAAGGATGAAATATGGTAATAGTGTTGCCTTGGCATCATTGGTGCCTATTTTTGCTCCTATTTTTTCAAAGATTCTTTGGAAAGAAAAACTGAGTATTTTTACGATATTGTCATTTTTAGTTGGATTGGGTTGGATTGTCCGGGATTGCTTTGATAGCTTAACCTACTTTTCTATTTTGAGCTCCGAGTGAAGAAGATAAAAAAAGTACAGTCCGTTTATTTCGTTGGTTCCTCTATTTGCAGGAATTTTGCTAGGATTTTCTTTCAGCCTTATGCGAAAAGTGGGAACTGAAGGTAGCCCAATTTTTGTAACACTTGTTGTTAG